ATGCCACGAAATACCCCGAACGTAGGCTGTCCAGTATCACTAGAAGAATGATCCTGAAACAGAAGGAATGATTATGATAAGTTTATCATCAACCTGGTTTCTTCCTTTACATTTGTTATGGTTGTTCTTCTCTTCTCTTTTCTACTCCTTCGATTCTTCCTTCATTGTCTTCCTATCTGCCACTTGCATTGATCAAACATATCTCCCTCATTTTTCCTCTCCTTTCCCTCACATCACCTTCCTGTCTTAACTATTTTCTGCCTTCTGTTTCTTTCTTCTATCGTCTTCCTCCCACTACCTTGATTTCCACCTCCTCTTCTTCCTATCCTTATCCTCCTCCCACCCATGCWTTCTTCTTTGGGTGAAGATTATTTATCCATAGAAGCCACTTACTATTATTATTTCGATTAGATTAGATTTTATCACATATTGAAAACCAGTAGTATAAAGTTTGTAATGCGCATGTGAGCATCTTCCAATGGAACATGAGAACATGTGCAAAAGAAATATTGAATTATTATATATTATTTATTGTTATTCTCATCCATGTACCTCTTGTTGTTTAACTGGGAAGCCTTCTCAGTACTTTTCTTTTATCATCTCCCTTGCTTCTCCACTCCACTCCACTCCACTTCTCTCCTCCCTATCCCTCTCCTCCTCCTCCCACGCATTATTCATATTCTCATCCATGTATCCCATAGTCTATGTGAATACCACCTTTCTTTTATCATCTCCCTCCCACTACCTTGCTTCTCCACTCCACTCCACTCCTCTCCTCCCTATCCCTCTCCTTCTCCTCCTCCCATGCATTATTTCCATATTTACTGTAAGCCATTTGAGTACCTCTTGTTGTTCCACAACTGGGAAGCCGTTATGATGTGACATGCCATCCTTCAACACATCCACTATCCTACCAACCTAGTTCAGAATTTTCAACAAAAAAAAAAAAATCTTGATACCTGAAGCATTCTGTTCTAGGGTGAGTGCCCAATGCACTAGTTTCGAATACCCTGTTTCTCTGGAGTTTGCCTTGGTGTAGGTTTTTTAATCATATGTTTACTGTTTCTAGTCAATCCATATTTTTGTTTGAATGATGTTTTACATACCTTTTCTTTTGTTTTGAAACAAATTACAGGTGTGCTCATAATATCTCTAAACAAATAAAAACAATAGATTAAAACAAATAGATGAAGGTTTGAAAGAGAAAAAGGAATGAAAGAGACAGGAAAAYGAAAGACAGGAGGAAAGATGAGGGAGTATAAGATAGAGGGCCAGAGAGAGAAGACAGAAGCAAATCAATGAAGTTCCTGTTAATAAAAGGCTTTTTCAATCACTGAGTGGAGTCAACATTGAACAAAATACAGTACATACTTGGCAAAGACTTCTGAGGCCATAACAGGAGGTTCCCAGCCTAGGAATGGTACTCCCTGTAGCTTGATATGAATGTCATATATACCCTGTATTTACAGAATAGATCCAGCAATATGAATATGATAAATATAACTAATACTTTGGAATGGCTAAATTGCAATAATTATAACTGTCTAAAGAGTGGATTCAAAGCAGCGATGCTGTGACTTTTATTCCCCAAGAAAGAAAATTTATGTTTTGAATTGCTCTGCCACACCGCTGTCATCACAAAAGCAATATCAATGACGTTGGATGAATCCAACAAAGCTTAATATATCAACCAACATGGCAGTAAAGATTTTTTGATCTCATTTCTTTGGAAAGRTTGTAATTGTGAGGAAAATATAATTTGATAGTCTTCATGTATTTGATGAACTGATGGTTAGTCTACTCACCTCATTAAAGAAGTCTCCTACRAACTTAGCTGTCATCAAAACAAGCATCATAGGCATACCATAGGTGATGTTACCTGTTGCTTCCATGAGGATGACAGTAAGACTGAGGGTCATACGTACTACACCACCTAGCATGACAAATAAAACAACATTGATACACCCTCAATTCATGGTAATCCAACTCCTCTTAGTTACTGCTGCTTTCTCACACAATCTTTAACATTTGGCTTGAGTATCTCGGAATCTGAAACTATGATTACAAAATATGGGTGTTGTAATTTGTTTGAAAGTCAGAACAAATTATTCTATTCCATGTACTCACCCAGAGTAGCTGCAGCACCAATGAGAGCATATCTTCCAGGGTCCACCCATGTCCCTTTAGGAAATGCCTTGTGTAAAAGCACCCCAAATAAACGTCCCCAAGATGCCCCTGTGAGAATACAGGGCACAAATAGTCCACTAGGGACGTAGAGACCATAGGTCCAGGTAGCCAGGAGAAAATATATTGGGAAGAAAGATAGAAGGGAGATAGGAGTGTACGACTCTGTAGAAGAAAGACATGGAGTTAAAGTCAGGACAATAAMGTTTGAGATATAAATACCAAGTGTGGCGGTAGAATTGACACAGCTAATTAGCATGGTAAGAATCATGCAGACCAACTATTTACCTGGTTGCAAATGGAAAAGATTCTTGATTGATTCTTCAGGGGTACTGAATACTAAAGTACCCATAGCACTGTATTCTCCATCATTACAGAAAAACTGCCAATGCAATAATATTATGAAAACACAATGAAACACAGGAAGAAAGGGTGGTGTGCTCACTATCACAYGTGAGTAGCTGGAGCTGCTCATTTATTTAATATATTTATATTCATTGATGAAATWTWTTTTTTTCTCTATCACYAAAAAGTGATATCTTCACATGCGAAGATATCCCCTCAACACTTGAAGATAATATCTGTATCTCCACATGGCCATGTTATATCCTCTATTCTTTATCTTCATCACCAACCCCCTTTTAGCCCCTGATAATATCAAAAATGTGGTCACCATGGTAATGCTTGTACTGTTTCTACAGTAATTACAGTACCTGTAGAGGATCTGTAATGTTGGCTGTGCCCAGAGGTCTGCAGTCATTGTGAAAGTAAATAAGGACAAATGCTGTGGATACTGTCAGCGTTGCCACAATGCATGCTTCAAGTACTCTCATCCAATTCTTTTTGACATACCTATAAAAAAAAATGACCAGCATTGTATAATAATAAYARTGATAATACAATATTTATATAGYGCTATTTCCTGAAGCTCAATGTCTTTCACATAAAACAAAAATCACAATAGAATGATAAACTGATGAGATTAATGAAAGTAGTAATGAAGATGATGTTGATTATAATGATGGTGATGATGATAATAATAATGGATGATGATGATGATGGTAATAAGGTTTTAATGCTGATGGTAATGTTAATGATGGTGAGGATGTCTCGATGATGATGATGATGATAATAGTGGATGATGATGATGATGGTAATAAGGTTTTAATGATGATGGTAATGGTAATGATGGTGGGGATGTCTTAATGATGATGATGATRATSATCATCATCATCATCATGATCATGATGATCATTGTAGCAGTAATGGCAAAGAAAGCTAATGATAAATTTGATGCTGATGGTGACTGTTGCCTGCCAATAAGTGTCAGTCATCGGACAAATGTCCAGAAAAAATGACCACGACTGGTAAATGATTTGCCTTGGCTGGACGTTTGACCAGCCACACTTGGGTTTTGACAGTTCAAATATTCTTCAGGCCTGACAAATAACCTAATTGTCAAAATAAAATTGCAGCCTTGATGATGATGATGGTGGTGGCAGTTGTGAAAGTGAGAATGATGAATTGATTGTCACACTTACTGCATTCTGAATAGAGACAGGTGATGRTTGATAGCATTAAACAATGCACCAAGAAGACCACCTAAAAAAATAAAAAATATGTAACAATATTTTCATGACATTATTCACTTAACATGATGGTGGGAATCTATCAATTTTGCTCCACACACTCAAACATACACTACATTTACAACATTTACATCTTGAATAAAAAAGAATGCATGAACTTTTTTCTAAAAAAATAGTTATACATCTGATTTCAAGTTTAACATATTCCTATAGATTTGATTYGTCTTGGTGTAATGTTTTCCCATTTCATACCATGTACACATCATTCTTGAGAATAAGATTTCTTGTTTGAGTTGTATCCATATTCATGTTTCTTTTCATGTGCAATTGTTAAACAAAGAAATGATACTCTAGGGAATGACATGTGGTCTGTATTGGGAAAATATTCCACCAAGAAAAATTTCCGGGGTGTACTCTTGCCCATTTAAGGTATGGATGTGCCGCTGAGCCCTCTCAACCCTGACCATGTTCCAGAGTAAAATCGCTGAAATTGATACCCTGTTCCAGAGCAAGGTCGCTGAAAACCATACTCTATTCCAGTATTGTGAAAATAGATACCCTGTTCCAGAGAGGAGAGAGTGTGATTTCATATACCCTATTCCAGAGCAAGCACGATTTTATATACCCATTTCCAGAGTAGAATCACTGAAAACCATACCCTGTTTGGCGGCACCTACCCGTATAGCCAATATAAGTGACAACCCCCTCCCCCCCCAGGGAAAACATTAGTTCTATTACTTTACATGCATACCTATCACTCCCATGATCATAAAAATTGGTAACTCATAACCATAATATGGACTTCCCTGGAAATAAAAATAGATAAAAAAGCTGAGTACACAAAGACCCATGAGTGGTGATAACTAGTAGAGTAATAGAGTGAACACAAAGACCCACATGATTTTGCTTCCCTCTCTCTGCTTCTCAAATGAATTAGCCAATCAGCAAACAGTTAGTTCATAGCCCAATATTTCCTAGTTCCAGGATTTCGATAAACATCTTTTACTTATAAATAAAGAAGGTAAAATTCATGCATGGAAAGATTCTCCAAATATCTTTTAGAAATAGCATATCATTATATCTTTAAGAAATAGCATATTATAGAACCTGCTGGCACTGACTTAACAAGATTAYCTACCTCAAATGATCCAAAGTTAATAAGGCCAGGGTTTGATAGATCRCCAGGTTGACCTTTGTAGATAGACAAAACAAGATTGAGAGTAAAGGTGGAGACCATGGAGGCAAAGAACATACGCCAGGTTAATGACTGGTTCCAGAAACTAGCGCCCTCCTCTAAACTAAATAGAACACCACCTACAATGTAACGGTAGAAAAAAATTTTTACTTGGTATAAGATTAAAGTAATTAACAAATAATGCTCCATTCAGTAATAAAGCACGCAGGAAGTTGCGTATCATGAAAGAAGTGTAAGGAGAAGCACGAACCATAGGCAAGTGCTTCTGACACTTCTTGATTGCTTACAGTGCTTCCTAAGTGCTTTATTAATTAGTGTTGGTCTTGCCATGAATCTATGACACCCCAAATAACAGGCAGGATGCCCAACTGAGCAAACTGGTTGGAATTGATTATCTTAAGAGATTATTAAATTATCCAATTACCTATAGGAGCACCAAAGGCTGCAGCAACACCTGCAGCAGCGCCTCCAGACACAAAGTCTCGTTTCTCATGATCAGTCCTGAAGTACTCAAAAATTTTCAGGTCCTTATTGAATGTTGTTGACCTTCCCTGGGATACCCCTGCGGCAATAACAGCACCAGAATGAATCATTGGCCCTTCCTTGCCACATGCCAGACCTCCAGAAACTGAAAAGATGACTCCAACAACTTTTGTAAGAAGAGTCTGCATAATGAACAAAAATAAATCAGTTAATAAATTAATCAGAAATATTAGAGTTTTTAGGAAGTATGAATCAATGCGACCCGAGTTCGAGTCCGGCCGGGTTCGGTGTCGTATGTGAGTAGAGTTGTTTGTTGGTTCTCTCCTGTGCTTCAAGGGTTTTCTGGGTTCTCCGGTTTTCCTCCCTCTGCAAAAATCAACTCCTAAATTCCAATTCAATCACGCAATGAGGGCCACAGGTTTGTTAGCCACTGGCTATTAAGTGCTACCCTTRTGAAAAAAGGACATTTTATGTGCAGAAGATCTGTTGATATTTCCCCATAGAGTGTGATGAGAATATCCAGGAATTCCAAGCATGACATCATTCTTACAACAGCACTAAATATAACCTTATCCCCAGGCTACTCCCTCAGCTCTCTCAAATTCAAAATGGCAAAAGGCTTCACAGCTGACATACATACATACTTATCTGACAGTTAAATCACAGTTTGACGTCATGCAATAGAGCGAACACAGTAGCCAGGGGAGGCTAGGCTGAATGTAGCAGCTGTTCAACAGACAAATGCCTCTGAGGCCAGTCCTTTTGACCAGTCACATGTTGATCAGTCTTATGTGGCTGATCATTATCTTTGGCCAGCAAACAGCCATTAATTCGTAACAATACACAAAACAATGCCATAAAGCAGTGTGTGCCTGGAGCGTACCTTGAATCTGACAACATGGGGCACCTTAACACCATTTAGATAACACTTTATTTGTGGTATACCACTGCCYGCAGCAACTGGCTACAAAAAAATCATGTAATCTTAGAAATTTGTTGCCATACATTTTCAAAGAATACAATTCTCTTTCTGATAAAGCATTTTCACATGACATCGCAGCCACCATATTGGTGTGCCTTTGACAATAAATTTGTCATTAGTTAAACTAAAAAATTCTTTTGTTAGGTACACTAATATGGCCGCTATCTCTATTGTCAGTCAACTCTCTAGAGACTGAGTGAAAATGTTCTATAGTAGGACCTAGCTTCTAGTGAAGTCTGAGAGCATTCCTCCCCCCCTGACTTTTGGAGACCCAATATTCAAGTCTAAACAAATTATGATCAAATGTGTTAACCATAAAATTTATCACATTCAGGCCATGATAAAGAGGAATATATATATGAATCTGACATGATGTACTTACCTCCAAATATGTGACCAACATTGCAGCAATGAATACAAACATTACATCAATAGCTACCCACAGTGCATAGGGAGCTGCAATACAGTGTTCACTAGTACACTTTTCAATATCTATTTTATGTAACAGTTAATGAAAACTTTTCAAACAATAAAACATATCAATTAACTGCAATGACCACCTATAGCAACACTCTATGGTACAGAAGGACTATCAACATACAMCGAATGCATTTGCAGATATTAGGCAGAGTTACTCTCCATTGCCTTCAAACAATAACTGGAGAATCTGGGGGAAAATCCTTAAGTCAAGGGAGAAATCTTGCAAAACCAAGTTCAGGAACAAACCAGAGACCCTAGARGTGATAAGCAAATGTACTACCACTATGTTACCCTCGATTCCTAAATGTTTTGGATACAGTTTTTGATGTTTTTATATTTCCATCCTGACAACAGACTAATGCAGATATCAATWGCACATGCTATGAGAGCAGTGATGACTGCAATGATGAACATTACAACCCATCTATTGATGTTGGTACGAATTATCTCCTAAAAATACCAATCAAAGGTTTATCAGATGTAGATCAATAAACGTGGCATTCAATATGATATATGATATAMTGTAAAAGGAAGTTTAATCAAAGATAAAAATGGAATGTCTTGTTTCRAAAATGAAAACTTGTTGCAAAGATATTGGAAAGATGAAGTTGCTGGTGATAATGATTAATGATGATAATGAAGTTGATTGATTTGAAGTACATGTAATTTATAATAATACTGTATGATGATGACAACGATGATGACATGATGATGACAAYGATGATGACATGATGATGACAATAAAGATGATGGTCATGTGACATGAATAATAGTGAACAATGGACTACTTYGACGATACAGCAACCAAGGTGATAGAAATGCAATCTTAATTCATCTTTTGACGTATAGTATTCTTTAGTGGTGAGCTGTTGATATTAATGGCCATCATTAATGTAACAAAGCTATATTTGACCCTTGGAAGCCCAATAATGCCTTGCAATCCAAGATSGCCAGCATATCYTCAAAGTAGTCCATTAGTATCACATAATTAAAACAAATAAACATACCTCTCCTGTATAGGATTTTATTTCTTTTAAATAAAGTGTATTTTCTGGAATATCGTAATCTAAACTCTGAAATAAAAAGAGGTAAACTTAACACTTGAATCTTCTAACTTTCAAATGGATTTTATTAGTTTAAAATTCGTTTTGAAATAGTTAAAGTAATGAAAAAGGCATAGATACATGGTATATTCTTTATTACTATAAAAACCAAAACTCAATAAATTCACATGACTTCAACGTGACTCAACCCTGAAGAGTTTCACTTTTACTTTTATTTTCTTTATCCTACCTCGTATTTTGCTAAAATTTTCTGAAGACTTTCATGTCCTCCAGAAGACCGATTAAGCATCCCCTGTCATAACAATGAATAAGGAGTTTCAGCAAATAAATGGAACGTGAAAAARGAATTAAGCTAAATAGTTGACTTAAGAAACAAAACATGGCGGCATAGGGGCGCAAGAACATTACCTCAAAGTCTCTATTAACTTCTAATGAATTGCCTGTACTCTCGGACTCAGTTCTTGTTCTTTCAAATGTCCTATCATAGTAGTCCCGGGGCTTGAAAAATCAAGAAGAAGAGAACAATGAGGAACAACAGATTTGACCGTCTACTTTGGAAAAAAAAACTTGGAGTTGTTCGTGACGTTCTATTTGAATGCTTAAAAATTTATCAATTCTTAAATTCTTACCCTACTCTGGTCCAAAAGCGGAGAACTTTCAGACGTCATCTCGGGGAGGTTTATAGAATTATTCGAAAGCATGCTTTTGAGTATGATTTTTTGGTTATGTTTGTTGAAGAGGACAAGCGAGTGCAAAGAAAAGCTGAAACTGTTTCCCTGTCRGCCATAATGAATTTGATTGACAAGTAAACAGGGGTTATGAAAACACAGGGAGCCCAATTTAGATAAAATTGCTAGACAAAATATAATCCGAAAAAATACTATTTGTTGGAAGTGTGCTAAGTCATACGGGAACAGGAACATCCATATTATATCTGTTGCTGTTGTTGTCGTTGTTGTTRATGATGTTGTAAAAAAGTACTCGTATTGGCAAAGCCATGGTTTGGGGTTCCTGTGGTGAATTTTCTCAAATCTCCCATAATGCATTACATAAYCAAAATGGCGGCCAGCGCGAGGGTTTGGAGAGTTTTAGCAAAAAATGCACTAGAATTCCCCCTAAAAACTACTCTACTAAGGTACTTTTCACAAAATGATACTATGTACCTATAATTTCATCTCTCAATTTTTTTTGTGCCATCGCTTTAGGTGTATGAGCTGTTATACGTCGAGAAATCCAACATTGGTCCAATCACATGGAGTCAACAAGAGAAGCCGTGGGTTGAGCAATTTAGCCGCCCCTGAGCCTGATGACGCAGAAAAGCAGTACCCTGAACATATTAAGCGTATAGTGGAAGATATCTCAAAACTGACAATCTTAGAAGTTTCTGAGCTCAACCAACTTCTGAAGGTAGACTTACAAAAAATTCCCCAACCCGCCACCCCTCGGTAAACATTTGTACGTGTTAAAATCAGTTATCTTGTCTTCATTTTGACCTTAATTTCAAGAGGTATACATATGAGTGGAGGAAATACTTCGCTAAATAATTTTTCTTTTCAAATGCAGACAACACTTAAAATAGAGGATGTTCCAATGATGGCTATGGGTGCAATGGCACCAGGTCCTGCAAAGGTAAGGCTGACAAGCAAGGGCGGATCCTGGAATTGTTTGGGGGGGGGGGGGGCAAAACCTACACTTAATAAGTGACATTATTTTTGATGTCATACATACACTATTACCAGTCGTAAGTCTGAAGTTGGAATGTATAAGACCAAAATGCTATTAACATTTTTAAAACTTGAAGATATTATTTTAAAACTTGTTCCATTAGGAGGGAGAGACAGAAGAACCTGAAAAAGCTCCAGAACCTACTGAATTTACTGTAAAACTTGCTGGATTTGATGACACAGCAAAAGTCAAGTTGATTAAAGAGATTAAAAATTTGATTCCAGGAATGAATTTAGTCCAGGTAAGTATAGGAGGAAAAAGTRAAGACTATATTGTTTTGTTTTGTGGAATACTGTAGTCCCTTTAGTCAGTAGCTAGTCTTCCAGAAAGCACCCATTTCTACCTCTYTTCATTAATGCCCTGTTTCAACCCTATTTAAACTAGACAGATAGACGTCTTTATGGATGGAGTGACTCCTTCAGCTAATTTGCAAAATTCACTGTTAGCTAAAATCACACAATTAAAGAAACGTGAAAATGTTAGAGATCCTGTGGAAAAAACTCTGTCTTGGCACACTGACAGCACACTAGCCAACTTATAAATTATAGCATGTCGGCTAAATATTAGCCTGCATAGAAACCGAATTTAACTGTCGTTAAACAYGTTAAATTCGGTCTCCATGCAGGCTAGCTAAATATTAAACTGCATTAATTTATTTCAAATTCTTTTGTGTCTTCTTAGGCTAAAAAGTTTGTAGAAAGTGTTCCACAGATTGTAAGGGAAAAGACCAACAAAGAAGAAGCTGAAACTGTGAAGAAGGCACTAGAAGCTGCTGGTGCAACTGTTGAGATTGAAAGTTGATAAATGCATTAGTCTTGTCAAGACAAAAATGCTTTCAGATTTCATTTGAGTGTGTATATGCARGGTAGTGAATCGATGACTTTTGATACCATTAGTTCTCCAATCGGAATATCTACATTTGTATATACTTATATTCGAGATATCCTCTCTGTTTTTGTGTGCTATCATTTCCAGATGAGGCATGTATGTAAGCTTCCCTTTAACAAAGTCATGATATAACTAGCTTACTTATATGTTTTACAGTCAAAACACCTCCAGCATGAACAAGTAGAGATCATTAATGGCTTTATTTTTGGATCCTTGATTTCATTATTCGATTCCAACATTCATTATTGAAAACAAATCTTCAATAGAGTGCAAACACTAATTACTAAATTGTTCAAAATAGTGCTAGTTAAACAGTTAAACAAAAGAAAACAATAGATTTAACATAAAAAAGTGTAATTTAGTATTACTTATATTTCACGGATATATTGTTTGCATTCTATYCAAAAAATAATAAAAGTTTAAAAATTTGATTAACTTGGCTCATAGGCTCTTGTTTATAGCAGAAACAGAAGGCAAGTCATTAATATTACATATTCCTTGCACAAAAAAGGTTGCTCTTGTATTTCAGCTGCGTATATGCTTGRCTTTTGTATATGCCAGGCTTTRAAGATTCATTTTCAAAAATGAATGTTCAAATCGAATAATGAAATCAAGAATCCAAAAATAAAGTCRTTAATGACCTCTACATGTTCACGCTTGAGGTGGTTTGACTGTAATTATTGATGGAAGCATACATCTAATTTGCCATAGCAATTTCAAGTGTTTCACAGTTGTTCAGAAATCTGCTCTACCCTAAACAATGCATTTTATCTATGTAAATTTTGCAAAATGATTTGAGAAAGAACAGTCTGTAAGAGGGAAAATACTTTACTGTTTTGTGTTCATGTAGGAATGGTTTAATAAAATATATTTAAAATGCTCTTCTTTTATATTCTTTATACATTTTATTATTTTATGTTGGAACAACCAGGGAATGTTTGCTCAGTCTCATAGACTTTTTCTGAGACAGCGAACATGGTGTATTGTTGTGGTCTAGCTTGGGTACAACATCTTTTGTTCATCATGCCTTATATGATGTTGTTCGTATCGAACCTAGACCACAATGCATCCTGTTTATTGAACTCAGAAAAGGCCTATGATCCAGGAAGCAGCACTCCAGGCCAGATGGAATTTTGTAGGCAGGAAACCAGAGAAAGAACCTYGCTTACCCAAAGTGCCCCTACGCAGGCTAAAAGAACCCTGAAGCAYATGAGAACCAACATTGAAGCAGCTTTACTCACACAACACCAAGCTTGAGATTCAAACCTGGGTTGTATTAGCGACAGGGAGCACATCAGCAGCAAACAAAAATTAATACTGTGCTTCCCAATCCTTGTTGTCCAAGTGGTTTTAACTAAAAAACCCAATACAATACTTTCAGTACTACATAAAGTTGAATATTGAAATATTTCTTCATTTAAATGTTGCATCTTTAAGTTATGACAGTTGATACTTCCATTATGTTACTGACAAGTAATTTTTGTTAAATCACTTGATTGACATAATAAAAAAAACAAAATAATATCCACACATCTTTTTTTTTATTCACAAACATTAACATTTACATATATATAAGTATAATATATTGTCAATATCAGTTCGATGTTATTTTAATTGAATTACTAGAAGTTATAACGCCCTCGCTTATGTGAAGGTGAATCCATTACTATATCCATAGATGATGTGGTGCGTTTTCTGCCTTCTCGTCCTTCTGACTCCCCTAATGATTCATTATAACTTCTCCTTCGAGATGAATTGTGAAACATTTGCCCTAAACCGCTGGAGGTATAAAATGGTGCTGTGTTTATCTGTTCTTCTACAGATAAGTCTTCAAATGGCCCATAGCACTGCACTCCAGTGTCCCTACTTTCAAATTCCATCCCCGATGAAAGAACAGTCGCATTGGAGCYTACAGCTGTACTACTGCTTCGAACATCGCTCTGTCGTCTTGGTGACGACCTACCGGCCAAGTATGATATCAAATCTTCTCTTCTGATAAGTTTTCGTCTCTTTTTTGCCCAAGAAAGAATGTCTTTATTTCTTTTTCTAWGACCAGCTTGATGCCCGGTGTCTATGGCTCTCTTATGTAGATCTAAACTTTCTGCAAAAAGGAYGATTAGCAATTGTTAGATCTTGGATGAGCATGTATTAAGGTGGAGTTGGCTTGGCATTGCGGTAGTGAGATAGGATATTTCCCCCATAAAACGCAATTTAGTCACAAAGAAAATGAGGAATTCAATCGGAAAGATAAACTTGAAACCTTGCCAACAATTAATTATTTCTAGAATATGTGAGAAAACTTAGAATTTCTTTAAGTTATTCCATTTGTTTATGAAAAGTGTGTTTCCAAACTAAAGTAGGATACACAGAGAAAAGTAAAATGAAGATTTCTTTGCCATTTTTCGAAACATTTCAAAGCCATGACGACTTTTAAAAATAAACAAGATTTTTACACAAGCGAGGCGAGGAATGCTTTCACTGTTCAATCGACTGCACTTAAGAACCTAAACCTGTTTTAAGAGGAGCAACACTTTAAAGCTAAAAAATACTTTGATTTTTAACTCCTTCTAAGCTATAAAATTATCGTATAAGGACTATTCTTGAACACAATGTGTCGGTATAACACCTTCACTTGGTAGGTCGATTCGGGGCGTCGATTTTTCCATACTAAGTCTTCAAAAATGCTAAAATATCATTTTAAAAAAGGCATCCAAAGGTAGTCGTAATTAAATTCGAGAAAGCGTTGAATCTTACCTCTATAAAGCAGAGCTATAGTGTTAGCTGTGTCTTGAAATGGCGTCCATAAGCAGCCATTATCGTTAGCATCGTGGTGGCGTTCTGGAAAAAAYGGTTTTGGACCATTTTAGCTTTCAAAATACACCCTCTATATCGATGTAATATTAAAATATAGCTATAGTATTAAATACAGACCTTTATAAAGCTGAGCACAAGCCATTGCCGCATTTTGAAAAGCATTCCACAATCGTTGAACGGCCTGTTCTTTCTCTCCAGCTAACTGCTCCTCAAAGTCTGGTTGGGTCTCAAGTTGTTCAACGCACTGGCGCTCGTAATTTGAAAAGCTCCATGGCTCGTTTCCACCCTCGTTGAAATCTTTATCCTTCCCGTCCATGAGGGGAGTATTTGTGCGCCTAATGGTAGGAATATGGGTTTAAAAAGACGTTTCTTTTGGACTGCGCAATGATTTTACCACTACAACACCGCCATGTTTTGATGTACCTGTACTACCGTGAAGATTGCTGGGGAATTATYATCCGCATTGGAATCATGGGACATTTTTCAGGTCACGCACTCTCCACTACCGTATCRATCCACTTAAAAAATAATTCATAAAACTCCTCAAAATTGCATCACAACATGCTCACAATATCTTATCAAGTAAATCTGAATTTATTTATRATCTTTTTTTAGTAAATTTTGAGCTTGTTTTTATAAAGTTGAGCGATTGCGTTACAATAATTGATTGCGAGGAATCTTGGGAAATTCTGATAGTTACGCTCGAGTTACAACCAGTTACCGCAAAATCAGTTTGCAAAGTACAGGGTTTGTGCCATATTTAAAAAATATATATATCATTATTTTTCGGAAGAGAGCTTCACGAGACCTCTTTTACTCCTTTCATTTTGCTCACTGCGACTTATTGCCTCCTTATTATTCGAATATTCGATATTTGATACGGAATGAGAATCGCATGGAATGATGGGTTGTTGTTCAAGAAACGCCACACTGCATTCAGCTCATAGGGGCGGCATTGAATTACATCGTGTCGTCGTGCTCTCGGGCTGTGTTAAAGCCATATGCATACTCTAAAACGATTCAGTGCTCCTCTGGGAGTAATTTTACGATCAGCTAGGGGATTAAGAATTGCTGACAAAAAAGGAAACTGGCATCTTGGCTTGAGACGGTTTTCTTTCTGTTCCTCGGACACGTCTTTCAACCCCATAACGAGCGCCCTTTTGGAAAACGACAAAATCAAAGTCCAGTGGCAAAACGGACAGCATTCTGAGTTGCATAATGTGTGGCTGAGAGACCACTGTAACTGCGCCAAATGTCTAAACCAGGAGACGTTTCAGAGAGAACTTGATTTACTGGAAATCCCACTGGACATCAAACCAAGCAGTGTTACGACCACTGGTGACATTCTGGAGCTGAAATGGTCAGATAATCATGTGACTGTCTTCAATTCTGATTGGYTAATAGAGCATGCATATAAACCAGGTATGGCGACGAGGGTTGAAGATTGGGTGGAGCCAGTACTCTGGGACGGGTCAATTATTTCRTCAGTCAAACTCCCAAATATTACATTTGAGTCAGTGTTACAAAATGAGAAAGAACGTTGCAGGGTGTCCAACTTAATAGAAAAGTATGGATTCGCTTTTGTGCATGAAACTCCAACAGATGTGTCATCCATAGAAAAGCTATCCAATGCCTTGGCAGGATTTGTGCGCGAAACAAATTATGGACGGTTATGGGAATTTTCTAATGAAGTTATGGACCATGCTGACACTGCATATACAGCACAACACTTGGAGGCTCACACAGATAATACCTACTTTACAGACCCCGCTGGACTGCAGCTGTTACACTGTACTTTCCATGACGGAAAAGGTGGAGAGAGTCTGTTAGTGGATGGGTTTCATGCTGCTGAAGTCCTGAAGCAAACAAACTTGGAAGCCTTTGAATTTCTTTCTTCCCACGAGATTCCTTTTCATTTTAAAGATGACAAGATTCAGTTTAAGGCAAATGGACATGTGATTGAACTTGACCCATTCACAAATGAAGTAGCCCGCATACGTTTTAACATGTACGACAGAGATATCCTAAATTGCCTGCCAGCTGAAGATGTCACGAAGTTTTACGGCGCATTTAAGGCCTTTGCTTCTGTCATACGAAACCCAGAGAATGAATACTGGTTCAAGTTGACGCCTGGCAAGTGCTTGGTGATGGGTAACTGGAGAGTCATGCATGGTCGCAGCGGATTCACAGGTTTGAGAAAAATGCAAGGCTGTTATATTAATAGAGATGATTTTCGCAGTCACTTCAGACCAAAATATCAGATTTACAAAAATCAACTAGACTGAAATTCCAACAATTCCAACAATTCCTCCCCTACCATCAAATAAATATGCATGCTACAAGTAAATTGCAAATAGAGGTTTTGCAGTATCACATGCCCATCTAATAACACTGCTTGGACTGCCTGTGGTTAGATGGCAGAACAATATCCCTTTGCTCTCGGGAATTGAATTCTTTCTCATGTAAAACAATTGTATTATTCCTGCCATCTAATATGGCTGCCGTCATGTGGTGGTGCAAAATCTCTTTAGTAGTAGTAATAAAAGGCTATAATTGAGTGTTTATATAGAGCATCCTGAAAACCTAGATGCACTTTTAAATTAAGCCCTCCTCAGGCATCCCAGCCACTTTTTAGACAAATTTGATAGGAAATATAGGCTGTGCAAGTTCTAAATATAGGAAAATATAGGATTTTTTCCCAAA